AAAAAAAAATTTAAGTATCACACAAAAGCAATTCAAAATTTACAGTTGGTCTAAAATGACTATGCAGTATCACATAAAATAAATTCCATGCTTCAGGAATCTACCAATATAAACCAATAATTTTCATTTACCATGTTTATCTATGTCAGAGATTGTGGCAGTCTTAGTAAGAAAATATGTTCATGATGTACTCAAGACATGTATAATGTATTCAGTCTTACCCATTCTCCACTAATTAGTTTCCGTTTCTTGTGTCTAGATGGCAAGGAATCATCTGGAGGATTGTTGTCTATGGCCCAATACGACCCCTAAAATATGACAAAAGTAAAGGACTTCAAGGGATATCATCAACTTCTATCAAAATGATATATGTTGAATATCTGCATTTAAATAATGAAAAATGCTTCTGGATGCTAGATGCAAATATGTTGGACTCTATCGAACTTCCAGATTGTATAACACTAGTTTCCAATTTTGTAATATATCTCATAATGTTACTGCTCATTAGGGAGGGATACATTTATCTTCTTGAAATTAACATATGTCCTTTATATAAATGTTTTTTTTTTGTTCCAGTCTTCACACAACATGTGTTTTAAATTAATGTCATTACCTTTCCTGGGTCATCTTTTGATCTTGGTACTTTCAAAAAACATTTGTTCAGAGATAAATTATGACGTATTGAATTCTGAAAAAAAGAATGATGTTATTTTATTAACCACTAGACCAAAATTATATGTTTTAGTTGATAACATTTATTAATGCTACCCTGTAAAAAATAAGCAGCTTGAATGCTTCAAATCATATCTAGATAGATTGTGTTGAATTTCAACTGTCCAAATATTATTCTTCTTGTCAAGTTGTCTGCCTAGACAAGAGACGAGGCAAGAGACATCAGGGTATCTCATAATATTGTGCTACTTGCTTCTTCTGCATAAAAAGTGATCAAAATTTGTACTTTATCTTTTCCTCATATGCTATTCATAATCCTGACAATGAGCTTTCTTTCTGTAGTAATTTTTTTTAAAGTAAGAATTAAGCTTGCCTCATTTAATTTGTTTATGTTTTCTTTTAACAGGAAGTCTTATCTACCTTCTAAATTGGAGTTATTTGTAATGCAATATCGGAACACATGAAATCCTAATGCTCTCATTAAATTCGATATGAAAATTTAACATTAAAACAACTTAATAAGCTTTCAAATATAAAATTCATCATGGCTTTTAGACGGTTTAAATATTCAATCAATCAATGGTTTCACAAAGTAAAATGTGAATGGAAAGTCAGAGTCATAAAAATTAGATATTCTCATTTTTTTTTAATTCTCAATTTTGCATTACATCTTTTTTCATCATCAACAATCAAAAGAATCTGTGCTATGCATTCTTATTTTTTGGAAAAATACCTTTTCAGACATAAGATCATTAAGAACAGACTGATCAATCTTATAGCTTTATAATAAACTTATGCACACATTACATACAGATGGATAAAAAAAAAACTGTCAGAGGAATCTCGGACTAGGTATTGCATATCACATACCTTCCAACCGTTTCCCGCATCTTTATAGTAGGGGAATTCGTTACAGATCCACTGATATATCTCACTTAAAGTCATTTTCTTATGTTTTGAACTGTTTATGGCAAATGTAATTAAATTGGCGTAACTATACGGGGGTTTTCCATCTCTGTGATTTGACGCTTCGTCTTTATCAAGGGTTGCACTTGTGTCCAGTGGCGAATTGGGAGCTTTTCGCATTGGCACCTGTCCGCCATGAGTTTTTGAGATTTGAGTTCCATCTTTGTTCACATTTCCACCCGTCATAGCCCCTCCAACGGACAACTCGTGCAACCACTTCATATCTGTCAACGAAGCTCCGAGCTCCGCCATCTTGAATTCTAGTGAAACCTAATAACTGGCGGATGAATATATCATGCTATATGATTATTCTTCAGATTTTCCAAAATTTCTTATTAAAGTTCATTTAAGCACTTGTGATATCAGTTAATCAGTACATAATTTCAATGATTTTTAGACATAAGCATTTCATAGAATTATACTTACATAATCTTTTCAAGACTTATTTTGTTTTGGTGTAGTTATAAAATACACGCGCTGCGTCCAGGCTTCTTTACCCCCAGCGAAGTTGCATAGCAGCAAAACAGTGCTCTGCAAGTTGAAAACCGCGAAATTGAAAACATAACATAACTGTCCCGGGTTTAAAATAAGATCATAGGCATAAAATAAGCTAATTAAGCTTAGTGCATAAACTTAAAGCAGGCCTTTGCCTACTTCACATACATTTGCATGATTCTGTAATAATTTGTTAACGCACATGGCCATGATCTATACTGAAAGGAAAGAGAAACGCATATTTTACTTTTAAATTAAATTAAAACTATTATTTCGAAAATGTGTTCCAGTATTGTTATCAAACATTTTAATTCATCTTTAATCTACAAGTTACCAAAATCTTGTGTGACTTTGACTGATAATTCCTGAGTTATTGAAATTGATATGTCGATACCCCCTAAAATTAAAATAAAAATTCTCATAATCTCCCTTCCACATTGGTAACAGCCTTGATTTTCCCGTGCATTGAGTTCACCAGAACATTTATCTTTCTCATTTGATTATTATTCAACTCTTCCGACAATAGTCTTAATGGTTGATAGAAGCTGTATTATTCCAAAGCCAACAAATCCCCCCGCCAAATGAGTGCCATGAATTTTCATTTCAGGATAGAATTTACAGAATCCAGCTGGTTTGGTACACGTGAATGTTTGTGAGAAAGTCTCGACAAACACTGGCTACATTTTCCCAGTGTGAACATGCTAAAAACATTACGCACACGACGTGTACAAGATACAAGATACAAGATACAAGATTTTATTAATCCAATTTGGGCCCCCGGAGGAGCAAAAAGATTTACAAATAGAAGAAGGAGGATCCAAATGATAGAACAAGCATGATGATGAAATTACAAATAAAGAGCAATTGTTAAAGAAAAAAACCAAAAAAAAAGTATATAAGAGATATACTGAATATACATACATGTATCGTATTCTAAGTTACATACAAATATGTATAATTTATACATATATATATATATAGTTAAAGGCAAGAAACTGGGAAAGAGGTATATAATTTTTTTTTATGCTTATCACAATATCTTCAATTAAGGTAAATTACTAAGGAATCCAGCAAGTGATCTAAGGATGTCTGGGTCTTCATTAGTCATGAGCCAATAAAATTGATTATCATAAGATAGAGACTGAAAATTTTTACATTTAATTTTACAAATATTTACATGCGCGCGTGAGAGTAAAATCGACGTAAAAGTTGCCAAGCTCGCGGACCAAATTAGAGCAGAGAATTTCTGTCAATTTTAGGGTGAAAATATTGGTATGATAGTTTGCTGTATAAATATCGGTTTCAGTGATAATACCTTGACAACAACCGAGGTGACACGATGAAAAGCCCTGTCTTGATGTGACGTTGTTACGCGTCAACGTCACCGCCATGGTTGGTTGGAAACCTTTTAATTTACTCTCTGACAACTGAAAACCCTTTCTTGTTGAAAAGTTTAAAACAAACTGCACAGCAACATCTTGTTGCCTTTTTATTCACTTACGCAATTCAATTACTGGAAACATTGTAACTTCCGTCAGCCATACCATGATTGCACGAAATTTATACTGATTTCAAATGCGGAAAACGATGTCTATAACTCCAATGCATCGATTAGCACCACAAAATGTGATCATAAAATTGTCATCATCAACATGCACGTGTTTTTGGCTTTTTATCATTTCCCCTACGTGACGCCATACATTTCATGGTTGAGTAATTTTGACCAGCAATTTTAGTGATCAGTAATCAAAATACACATTTGACCTATTATCATAATTTTTGGCCATATAGTTAAATATATTTCGCTATTATGCTATTATGCGTATCTTTTTCCTTTCAGTATAGTTTAACTTTAGATTAAATTTATCTGTTTATTGTATAAAGCTATTTTGTCCCATTTTTAGCTCTACTGGTCAGAGACCAGAAGAGCTTCTGTGATAGTAATGCGTCCGGCGTCCGTCCGCCTGTCTGTCTGTGTGTCTGTAAACATTTTTTCAAAATGCTACTCCTCCTACAGATTTGATCCGATTTCAATATAACTTGGCACACAAGTAGACTACACTAAGTTACATAATTCTGTGCATCGGTTTTTGATTTTGATGAACGGTGTTGCCATGGTTACAAAAAATAGAAATTTCTTTGAAATTCTTTCAAAATGCTACTCCTCCTACAGTTTTGGTCTGATTTCAATATAACTTGGCACACAAGTAGACAATACTAAGATACATAATTCTGTGCATCGGTTTTTGATTTCGATGATAGGTGTTGCCGTGGTTACTAAAAATAGAAATTTCAGTGAAATTCTTTCAAATTGCTCTTCCTTCTACAATTTTGGCCTGATTTCAATATAACTGGCACACAAGTAGACTACACTATGATACATAATTCTCTGCATTGGTTTTTGCTTTGATGAGTGGCAAGGATCATTTTTTCTATTTATTGATGTTTTTAAAGTTTCAAGTCGCAACTGCTACTTTTCTCTTCCTTTGTTTTAAGTATAAACCAGTAGAGCTACAGTCTCGACAGAGACTTCTGGTTATTTATCTATTACATGTATTTTTAAAGTTTACCTTACCATTAAAATTTTTCATAAAAAATTCTTGTATAATTCCGTTATTTACACTTTAAAGTTACATTATTTATAGTGATTAACTTAGCTGCAGATCTGTAGCTCTCCGAAAAAATATAGCATAGGCGTCGGAACCGGGGGGGCTAGGGGGGGGGGCTTAGCCCCCCCCACTTTTTTTCCAAATATATACTTAGTATAGAAATTGAACATATCTTCGTAGGTATAGCCCCCCCACTTTCCACAGATACTTCTTAGTATAGGTTAAAAATCGGGAAAGTGGTGGTGCTTGGAAAAAAAATTTTGGTACTGAAGTTCGGACCTAGCCCCCCCCCCCCCCCCCCCCCACGAAATAGGATTTTCGTGTTTGGGAAATGGACATTCCTTTTTTTTTTTTTTTTTTTTTGCTTGTCAGGTTTTTTTTAAGGTACAAAATTTTTTTTTAACACTTAGCCCCCCCCCCCCCACTTTCAATTTGCTTCCGACGCCAATGTATAGTGATAGACCGGACTATCAATATATTTTTTTGCCAAACTACGTATACTTGGTGTACATATAGATGAATGTCTAACCTGGTTTGTTCAAATTGAATTTTTATGTAATAAGCTTTCACAAAACAGGCACGTAGCATCGTTTTTGAAAGGAGGGGGGGGGGGCAGCCAGAGAATTTTTTTTACTAACCTGAAAAAGTCGAAAAGCAACAAAAAAAAATTCCTTACATCACTTATGGGGGGGGGGGGGCAACCAGGCATTCAATTAATATTCCCTATAGTATAAGTAAGGTTGGGGAAAAAAGTGGGGGGGGGGGGGGCAGCCCCTCCCCCCCGTTGCTACGTCCCTGCAAAACATAGGTATTTTACTCCGTCTACAAAGTTTTATGTTAAAGGCAGCATTGGTAAAAGTTTATAACACTGTTATTTTTCCTCATTTTAACTATATTGTTGCACTGTTTGGCGTTCAGCCAAAAACAAGGGTTTTATTGATAGAATTTTTAAATTATAGAAAAGGGCCGCTAGAATTATCTTGAATATGAAAGAAATTCAAACTTTTATCTGTCTGTAAATATGTTTTATACAGGACCACAATGTAAACTAGTCATATGTACTAATTGTGCTATCCTGCCTAAATAAAAGAATTTATCATTATTATATTCATTTCGGAGAGCTACAAATCTGCAGCTAGATCATTCAAATGAATGAAAAAGTCCATTGAGAAAGAAAGGTCACAAAACAAGAAACAACTAGTGCTAATTGTAACGGGGACCGTTACAGATGTTCCCCAAACGCTCCCCAACTCCCTTTTACAGTCATATTCCCTGTAAGCGTAATTAAATAGGACAAACTCTATGCATTTGAGACTTTATCAACGTTTACCCAAAAGTGCACTATGTTCATTCAAATTTTATCATTGCACACTTGCGCATGTGAATGCATGTGCGTAATGACCATATCATATTGTCTACACAATCTATAAATTTTAATATGCTAAATATTAAAGTATTTAATCCAAAAGTATAAAAAAAAAACCGCTCCTTCAAGTGTATTTTCAATTTTACCCATTTCACGTGCACGCAAGTGCATACATGAGCATGGTGACCATACCTTCTTGTATAAGTCCATTACATCTATCTATGTTCTAAATCTCATCCCGTTTGGTTCAAAACCAAGGGAGTTATAGCTGTTTAAAGTTTTAGCCAATCAGATTGCAGCGCACGTACACGCACATGCATGCATGCATGTGCATGGTGATCATGCCTTCTTGTAGAAGTCCATTATATATCTCTATGCTCCAAATCCAATCCTGTTTGGTTGAAAACCAAGGGAGTTAAAGCTGTTTAAAGTTTCAGCCAATCAGATTGCAGCGCACGTACACGCACGTGTATGCATGTGCATGGTGACCATACCTTCTTGTAGAAGTCCATTATATATATATATATGTTCCAAATCCCATCCTGTTTGGTTGAAAACCGAGGGAGTTATAGCTATTTAAAGTTTCAGCCAATCAGATTGCAGTGCACGTGCATACACGCGTTTTCATGATAATTGCTTTATATCATGTAAGATATCGTAATACATGACTATGTTCAAAATTTCAAAGGATTTCGTCAAAAAACAAGAAAGATATTGAGACTTTAGTTTCAGCCAATCAGAGCAAAGCGCACGTGCATGCGCGTGAGATCTTGCTATTTTGACCATGT